GAAGAAAAAAAAAAGCCAAAAAAGGTAATATAGTAGTGTTTCAAAAAAATGTTCAGGCTACTTGGACTTTTAGTAGAACTTACCACAGAAAGAAAGAAATAAAGAAAGAAAGAAAGAAAGAAAGTAAAGAAGACACTCACACTTTTGTCACAAATCTACCTTTAAATATTTCAATAAAACACTACTAAAACACCAAACAATTTACCTGGTAACCAAGAACTCCAAGCATTTTTTCATTGTGGTCTTCAATGGCGGCATGAGATGTACCAAAGCCTGAAGCGACCCTTGCAAGTGAAGAATCAGAATCTTGATTTTCGATACCATACTTGCAACAATCTTCAGCCAACTTCCTAGCTACAAAGCACAATTTAAACACCAGTATTTTTTTTTTCAAATAAAAGTAAAAGTAAAATAAAAATATGACGAGACACACCTATCTCCATTTGTTTTTTGCCTGTCGATATGAATCCTTCTAACCCACGAACAATATCCCTCTGGAAATGCTGTGCAACAAAAAGCTCCTTAAATTTGACTGCCCAGGTTATATAATGACAATACATTAGATTCGGAGAACTGCTTTTAAAGAATCGAAGGTAAAAAGAACATGACTCCATGTAATTACCTTGGCTGCCCTTGTCGATTTGTACAAACACTGTAGTTGCTCATGAAGTTCTAAGTCGCCTTCGTCGATCATAACCCCTCCATGACCTAATTGCCCCAGTTGCCTAAGAATTGCCTGCAAGTGAAGCATGCCTCTAACGGTTTACAACTAACTAAACAAAAAAATAATATAAAAAGCAAAAAAAACCAAAAACAAAGAAGTATATACAGACACACAAAGAGAGATGGCTAGAACAAATTATGCTAGATAACCCCTTATTCTATCTCACAAGAATATATGAGCAGTAACCTTAGATGACCAAATATATTGAAACATCAGCTTCTGATGTATGCACTCTTAAATATCCCAAATCATATCTCATTTTGATGGTAATAATAGCTCTTGATTAATATCTAAACAACAATTACTTATCACTAGTTAAATGGTAAATGAAAGATAGCCATACTCTAAAGTTTCACACATCGATTAGTTATTGGGCTGTTTTAATGTATACATGTGGGTTGAGCACCCTCTTCCTTTGAGCTAGGGTTTGGGGATGAGTTTTACCCAAATCCATTTATCATGGAGGTAATTCAACCTACACTTATTCACAATAACAACCCAGTAACTAATCAATGTGGACAAACATAACTTCCAGCATTTTTTTTTTTTTATTTA